AAAACTACAATACGCTGAAAAGGAGATTGAAGAGAATATTAGAGAATGGAGAGATATCCTGTGTCCTTGGGTGGGAAGAACCAATATAGTGAAAATGCCCATACTTCCAAAACTGTTATACAGATTCAGTGTAATCCCAATCAAAATTTCAATAGCATGTCTCACAGAATGAGAGAAAACAATCCTAAAATTCATCTGGAACCAGCAGAAACCTAGAATAGCAAAGGCAATCCTGGGCAACAAAGGCAAGATAGGGGGCATTGTAATCCCTGACTTGAAATTATACTTTAAAGCTAATGTGATAAAAACAGTGTGGTACTGGCAAAAAAAAAAAAAAGACCCAAAGGTCAATGTAACAGATTAGAAGATGCAGAAACAACTGCAGACACACTAAGGACTAAGCCACCTTGTCTTTGAAAAAGGTGCCAAACACATTCACTGGAAGAAACAGCCTCTTTAATAAATGGTGCTGGATAAACTGGCTTTACACATGCTGAAGATTAAAACTGGACCTTTATCTTTCACCATGTACTAAGCTAAAATCAGCATGGATCAAAGATCTTAATATTAAACATTAAACCTTCTAGAAGATAGGGTAGGTAAGAAGACACTGGAGTAGGCAGACTTTATGAAAAAAAAACTCAAATTGCACAGGAACTATCAGAAAGAATCAACAACTGGGGTCTCACCCTATTGAAAAGCTTTTTCACAGCAAGAGAAACCATCAACAGAGTGAAGAGACAACATATAACTTATGAAAAAATATTTGCCAGCTGTTCCTCAGACAGAGGATTACTATCAAGAACACATAAAGAACTCAAAGACATCAGTCCTCCAGATTTAAAGACCTAATCAAAAAATGGGCATCTGAGATGAATACACACTTCTCAGATGAAGAAGTATGAACATCAAATAAATAAGTGAAAAAATTTTCAACATTACCTATCATTTGAGAGATGCAAATTAAAACTACGCTGAGATTTCACCTCACCCCAGAAAAAAATGGCTAGTATTAAGAAATCAATCAATAACAAATGCTGGAGGGGCTGTGGGAAAAAAGGAATCCTTCTCCATTGTTGGTGGGAACGCAGACTGGTGCAGCCACTGTGGAAATCAGTGTGGAGATTCCTCAAAAAACTAGGATTGGAGGTCACATTCGACCCAGCTATTCCCCTTCTGGGTATCTTTCCTGAAGAATTAAAAACATCATACCACAGCAATATATGTGCACTCATGTTTATAGCAGCACAGTTTGTAATAGCCAGATCTTGGAAACATTTAAATACCCATCGACTGAGGAATGGATAAAAAAAAAAATGTGGTATTTCTATATGTGGAATACTATTCAGCCATAAACAATGATAAACTGGACATTTTTATAGGTAAATGGATGTACCTTGAAAACACACAGATTAGTAAATAAATATGACATACATGCATAATCATCACAGTTTTAGTATGATAATCATAAAACATGTATTTTGTCCCAGAGGGAATGACTTCAGCCAAGCAGTGACTCAGGCCACACCTATCTTTACTTTGTCCACTGTGAGCCATTTTTAGTTGACTTTTGGATGTTTTACAAAATTTCTGATGTGTTCCAAGGTTTCAGTTTTTTGCATGTGGATATCCAGTTGTTTCAGTATATCTATGGAGGGTACAGTCCTTTCTCCATTTAATTGATTTTGCATCTTTGCCAGAAATCAAATGTGTTATGTCAGTATCAATTTTGGGACTTTATATTGATACTTTGGTGTTTTATCTGTCTTGGAGCCAATGCCATTTTGTCATGATTGGTGTAACTTTGTGATAAGTTATGGGATTGGAGAGGGTGGAGCTCTAATTTTGTTCCTTTATCAAAGTTGTTTAGACCATTCTGAATCCTTTTCATTTTTACAGAAATGTAAGAATCGAAATGTTCATCTAAAAATGACGTTGACAGTTTGATAAAGGATTGTGTTTTCTTATTTTTATTATGTTCTATTTTTTATTTCATTCTTTTATTTTTATTTTATTTTTTTTGTACCAGGGATCAAACTCATGACCTTGTGCTTGCCAGGCAGGTGCTCAAGCCACTGGGCTAAATCCCTGGCCCATTCTTTTATTCTTAATAAATTTTTTAAAAAAAAATTTAACTACCTAGATTCTGTCTTCTTATAGACTATTAATCTTCATAGTAAAAACAGTAATAAAAGTGATTAGATCCGTTTGTACCACCAGTAATGCAAACCACTTGATGGACTGGTTATGCATATATCACTGGTGGTTCAAGCTAGTGAGAACATGTTCAGAGACGATTGTGAGTCTGGATCAAAAAACAGAGTCTAGCAGTGGGTTGCCTCCACTGTATTACTTTTTATCAGCTTTTACTAATAAAATTAAAATCTGCCAGTGGGACAGACATGCATGTTTCATCGATGGTTCACGCTGCCTGGCAGTGAGATCTACAAGTCATAGCCTCAATGTGAATGAGTTAAACAACACTAAGATTCCATCTTACACCAGCAAGAATGGTGATCATCAAAAGGTCAGCGTGCTGGCATGCATGGCTGTGGCACAAAAAAAGGAACTGTGCTGCGTTGTTGGTAATGTTAACCAGTACAGTTGTTATTGGAAATCAGTGTGGGATTTTGCCAAGAAGTAAAACTAGAAATTGAGTATGAGCAGCTGGTCCCCTTCTAGGGATCAGGGCCCAGTAGACTGTACTATGCCATTATTGGCATGATGTAGGGAGAGGGGGAAAGAAGGGAAGAGGAAGAGAAGAAGGGAGAGGCAAGGCAGAGATAAAAAAGAGAGCCATGTTCTGTTGGCATTTCTCAGAGCTGGGTTAAAGTGTTAGTGTCGAGGGGTTTAGCAGGGGATTTGTAGCCCCAGGAGGACCCATCCAGGGGGAGCGTATGTAGTTAGAGCCTGAGAGAAGCTGGGGGGCTTTGGGGCCTGCTGCTGTGTCTGGATCCGCTGCGCACTGCTCGGGGAAGCGCCAGCCCGACGCGACAGGACGGCGAGTGGTTTCCTTCGGGTGGAGCCCTGACCTCCCCTTACCCTCCTGCCACACGGGGACACCTGGTACATACGTGTCGCATGGAAGGTGGAGAAGGGGGAGGCGGGATAGGACACTGGGGACGGTAACAGAGTAGGGGGCAGGAGGAGACAGAGGAGAAGGAAACTGACAGAATTTAAAAGTAAAGCTAAAAGGTAACACTGGTAAAGCAGCAAAGCAGACCGGGAGAGAGATTCAGAACCCCGCACGGGGCGGGCGGGAGCCACCGTAGGGCGCCAAGCCCTGGCGAAGGTGTGCCGGGGTGTCCCTCGGCCACCGGCCCCGCCCCACCCGCCGAGCGCGCGTCCCCCCCAGCGTTGGCGAGCACCGAGCGCCCTCCCGCCCGCCGCCCGAGCCTCTCCTTCCCCTCCGGGCCGGGTAGGCGGGGCCGCGGGAGCTCAGCCGGGGCGCTGGGGCGGGCCTGGGCGGAGCAGCTCTCCCGGCTGCCGGGGGCCTGCGTGTGTCTCCCCCTTTCCTCGCGGCAATTCGTGGCGTCTCTGGGCTCCGGCCGCGCTTTGCTCCCACTCGGAGAGAAGGTGGGATGTCTGTGTCCCGCCGCGGCTGCCCAGCCTCCGGGGTGCGGGGGAGCAGGGACCCAGACAAGTGACACCGCTCCCCTTCCTCGGCACAGACCTTGACTTCGATCTGGAGCAGATTGCTGTTGGTGTTGTGCACTGGGTGGGACTGCCACCCCTTTCAGAACACCGGTGTTATTTGGCGTCAGCCGCTGGAGTGTCTCCAACACACCTCTGCTGCAACCAAAGCCGTGTGTGTGTGTGTGTGTGTGTGTGTGTGTGTGTGTGTGTGTGTGTGTGTGTGTGTGTGTTAATTTACGATTATTTGCTGCTGCTTTTTACCTTCAGTGTAATGCTTCATAAAATTCCCCTCCAGAGTCTTGCTATGTAGCCAGGGCAGCCTGCAGTTCATAATCATCCTGCCTTCGCCTCCCAAGTTCTGGGTTACAGGTGTGTGTTACCACACCTGACCAAAATCCTTTCTCATGTCTTTGTTACATATTTATTATGTATTATTCAACTATTTTCTGGTCTGATTTTTAAAACATTTCCATGGTAAGTTTATTTCAATTTTTATTATAACACTTCAAAAAATAGAAAAGTCACCACATAGCTTCAAATGATCACCTTCTGTCTGCTCTTCTCAGCCGCCCTTCCTCGCGCCTCCCTTCTGTGGTAGTGGAAAGCATTTGTTCTGCCCCTGAGCGCATCTCCAGCCCAAGGCTCCAACCATTTTGAAACAAATTTCAGACACTTTTAATCTCTTTGGATGTCTCTAAAAGAAACTCTTTAAAAGACTTTTCATTTAAATATTTAATCCATTTAGATTTTTATGTTGTAATTTAGTGTTAATCCAGAGATTTAATTTTATTAATTCTATTTCTCTTTTCAAACAGCTGTCTCCAAACTAATTATATATATATACACATTATATAGGAACCAAACTATATATAGTTACATATATCATACATATATATAGTTTAACCTTTTGCCCATAAGTAAGAAATGCTATCTTAATCATAGATTCATTTCTCAAGTACTTAAATCTCTGTTAGGATTTTCTGTACCATTGATGGTTTTTTCTCCTCTACATCATGGTATCTGGACTGCTGCCTTTTATTTTTCCAAGCACTGGGGATTGAACCTGGGTCTTTGCACCGAGCTACATTTTTAGTACTTTAAAAATTGTTTTTATTTCGAGACAGGGTCTCATTAAGTCATTCAGTTGCCCAGACTGGGCTTAAAGTTCTGCCTCATTCTCCCCAAGCTCTGGGATTATAGTGGCCAAGCTCCATTACTGGCTCTGAGCTTCTGTTTTATAACTTATGTCACATGATGATAGGATTTAATTTTTTAAAATCTAATATGATAAAAACAAAAGCTTGTGGAAGACTCAGAATATTTACTTAAATAAACATGTGTAAAATAAAAACACTTTGTTTCAGAGATCCTTTAAAGTGGAGAGCTGTAGTTGGAACCAATAATCTACACAAGAGTCATTCATATACCAAGAAGATAAAAGTTAAAGCAATTATTCTCCACCCAGACTTCATTGTGAAAACTTACGTAAATGACATCGCACTCTTCTATTTAAAAAAAGCCGTACGGTATAACAACTATATTCAGCCTATTTGTCTACCTTTTGATACTTTCCAAAAACTGAATGAAAATACAGCATGTTTTATAAGTGGCTGGGGAAGAACAAAAGAAGAAGGTAATTATAGTCTGAATTTCATTGATATACATACTCCTGCTTATTGGCAAAAGATGGTCAGTGCTTTTATATGCAAATATTCTTTTGTATATGTGTATTTATTTATTTATTTTTATTTTTTTCTTTTTGGTACCAGGGATCAAATTCATGACAGTGCACTTGCAAGGCAGGCTCCTACGCCACTGAGCTAAATCCCTGGCCCTATATGTGTATTTAAAACATTTATGTGCTTATTTGCTCTGTCAGGGTCAAATCCAGGGCTTTTTGCTTGCAAGGCAAACACTGTACAACTGAGTTGCATTCTCAGCCCCATTTTATGTATTTATTACCTTTGTTGTGTGAGCAAATAGATTGAACCAGTAATCAGAAGTCTTCCATTCAAGCAAAGCCAGGAACTGGTAGCTTTATAACAGTGATCCTCCTGCCTCAGCCTCCCTAGTGCTGGGATTATGGATAGATAGGTCTGTGCCACTACGCCTGATGTAAACATCAGCATTCTAAGTCACTGTAAGAATGCCTGCTCTCTAAAATATTTTACTGGCTTTCTGTTGTTGTTAACAGGTAATGGCACACATATATTACAACAGGCAGAAGTACATTATATTTCTCGGAAAATTTGTAACTCTGAGAGGAGTTACGCAGGAGCAATTCCTAACACTTCATTTTGTGCAGGTGATGAAAATGGAGATTATGATACTTGCAGGGTAAGACCAAAGAATTTTCCCTTAAGATATTTTCTAAATCCAGAAAGGAACTTGAATAAGAAGTTCAATTATTTCTGATGATCTTAGTTATCAGGAGTAAATATACCAAATTCTTTTTTTCTCTAGCTACTTAGTCCAAATCTTTTTTCCTGGTTCTTTTAGTTTTTAGTTTCTTTGGGTTCACACTTAGGCACAATTTCCCTTGAATTTTCTTTCTTTTGTAATCATCTTTAAGATACAATGCATTTATTTACACTATATAATTCACCTTTTTAGTATATTTATGGACCTGTTCAACAGTCACCACAATGTAATTTTAGGATATTTTTGTTCACCTCGAAATGAAACCCGTATCTACTGGAAATCACTCCTCCTTCTCCTCCCACCTACCTCTAGTCCCAGCATCCACTAATCTCTGTAGAGTTGCATATTCTGAACACTTACTGTCTGGACATTTCTGGAGTAATTCAGTATGTGGTCTTTTGTAACTGGCTTCTTTCCCTTAGTATGCTTTCAAGGTTCATCTGTGGCCCAGAATGTGAGTTCTTTGCTGATTTTATTGCCTTCTGCATCATTGTATGGATGAGTCACATTGTGCAGCCATTCATTAGATGATGGTTATTTGGGTTGTTTTTCTTCTGTATCTACTATAAATAACATTGCTTTGAACTGCCCAACTGTATTCCAAAGTGGCGACACCATCCGGTGTCCCACAAGCAGTGTTTGAGTAGAGTCATCCTTGTGTGTGTGAAGTGGTTATCTCATCATGGTTCTATTTGTGTTCTCAAGTGACTAATGATGAACGTCTTTGTAGGTACTTATTAGCCATTTGGGTGTCTTCCTCAGAGAATGTTTCTTTGGGTACTTTCCCCATTTTAAGATTATCTTTTTATCACTGCGATATCAACATTTAAAAAACATATTCTGGACACCTGTCCCTACTACATGCATGTCATACAAGTATTCTCCCCCATTTTGCAGAGGTGCCTTTTCACTTTTCTAATGTTGTCATTTGTAGCATAAAAGTTTTAAATGTTTTAGGAAATTCAGCTTATTTTTTTCTTGTCTCTTTTGGTTATCTTTTCTTTGCTCCCATTTTGGTGAATGAACCCAGGGCTTCACGTACACTGAGCAAGCATTTGTGTGCTTTTTGACTCTCACTTTTCTTTTGTTTACCAGCACCCACTCTATCAGCCCTTCAGTTTCAAGGGTAACGCGTGCTCCCATCTTTTCCTAGTCATTCTTATTTCTGCAGGTTCTAAGGTTTACCCTTCCTGTGATATTTGTCTTAAAAATCTAGATAAATAAAATAGTCAAGAATACAATCTAATTAAATTGCATTTCTAGCCAAAATATCTTTTTTTTTTTTTTTTTTTTTTGTCTTTTTCTCTTTTATAAGTACTGGGGATCGAACTCATGACCGCCTGCTTGCAGGGCAGGTGCTTATGCCGCTGAGCTAAATCCCCAGCCCCTAGCCAAAATATCTTTATCATCACTAAATAATTATTCAACATCTGCTTTTCACAGAGAACCATAAACACTCAGAAACATTCTCCTTAACCTTTAGGGACTGGCAGTGTGTTTATTGCTTTGAATTAGCAAGCCTTACAAACAGTTTTGAGTGCATTAACAATCTTGTTAAAAGGTATTATTATTTATAATACTATTTAGAGTCTTCACAATTTATTCTCATTTTCGTGCACTAGCCAATGTCCACATCTAAAAAGATAACATCTTTTGCAAGATACTAATTTATTTGTCTCCTCTAGCTAGAGGAGGCTGTGTATATACAAATCTGGAAAAGTCCTTCATACATCTTAAAATTTTGCCTTTAACACAGTGTTAACAAGAGAAATATTGTAAGGAGCAGTTTTTACAATATTTTTGTACACTTATTTCTTATAATTGTATTTTTAAAATTCAAGCAGTCTCATTTATAGTATTCTTGTTCAAAAGTGCAGGTGAGTTTATCTACTAGCTATATGATTTCTCCCAATACCTGCGCACTCAGTACTTTCTAAGTTGGAATTAAACTAAAAATATGTTGATCAGTCAACCATGATGCTAATGTGCTATTGTGAGCTGTGTGTGGTGCCTCTCTACTGAGACACTATCTCACTGTGCTTCCCTTTCCCCATGTCGTTCATTTGTTTTGTTTTGGCAGTACTGGAGACTGAACCTAAGCCTTCCTTTCTTTTTTTCCCTCCTCTCCTCTCCCCATCTTAGTCTTGCTAAGTTGCCCACGTAGTATTTAATTTAGCAACTACCTCAGCCCCTCAAAATGCTCAGAAAATAGGTCATTCCATTATTAAGGTCTAGCTAGCTATTGCAAAAAAAAAAAAAAAAAAGATTAGCTATTACTTGGAGGAGTAAATAAATGTTTATATAATGACAGGGTTAAAGTGATCAATTTATCTCAGTTCTACCGTGCTTAAAAATACTAAAAGTAACTAATATTATTTTGGAATTTTTTGATAGGGTGATAGTGGTGGACCATTAATGTGCTACTTACCAGAACATAAGCGTTTTTTTGTAATGGGAATTACCAGTTATGGATTTGGCTGTGGTCGAAGGTATTTTCCTGGTATCTACAGTGACCCATCATTCTACCAAGAGTGGCTGACAGATCATTTCTCCAAGGCAAGAGCTACAGGCATATTTAATGTAGATATTTTAATTGTCCAAACCCTTACAGCTTTAGGTTCTATCATCTTCCTAGCAACAATGTAAAAAAATTCTGAAGATTTGCTACTTTATTTTGTATTGTATCCTCTTTTACATCATACATAATGAAAGCTATTTATTATTTTAGCAATTAATTACTCACTTTAAGAGTTCCCCCCAAAAGCATTTTTTTTAGGAAAAAAAGAATTGTGACATAATTACATACACAGTTGTAAATCTGTTCTACCAAACCACATCCATGGTAGAACTTGATTATTTTATGTTATAATCATAATTTTGTATTTGGAATACTTTGCTAGCAGTTTGCATAAAATATTTAATTAAAACATGTTCTTTAGGTGTATGAATATCATAATAAAGAGTTTATAATTAAAATGAAACTGTTCTTTGGTTAATCAAAATTATTTTGTAATTTATGATCTATAATTTTAAAAAATTATAATCTCGTTTCTCGTTCTTCAAGAATACTTGGAGAAACAGTGTTTACTTCTCATTTAAGTTCTAATTTGGCTGGGAGTTTAGGTCAGTGGCATAAGCACTTGCCTGGCAAGCATGAGGTTATGAGTTTAATCCCCAGTACCAATAAATAAATAAATTCTAGTTAAAGCAATTTATATAATGTGAATACTCATTACCTATAAGAGAGAATTGCAAAGTAGACATCTCCTATTCATTTACTATTTTTATTCAGGGATTTATGAGGAGACTTTTTCTAACTGACTTTCTAAATTTTCTTTTTTCTAAAGACTATCTTGGGCTCCCTGAATTAACTGGAAAGAAGGGATTCAAAGACATGCTTAAAGGACAGAAGCCAATCTGGCGTAAATTTTATGTTGACTAATCTATAAAATATATTACTGAAAAAAAAGAAAATGTTTAGCACTTGGCCGGCATGCATGAAGCCTGGAGTTTAGTCCAAAGTGTGTGACATGAGCCAGTACACTCGGTCTGCATTTTCTCTGACACTCATGTGTTGATGGATATATAGGCCGTTTCCATAGTTTAACTATTGTGATTATGCTGCTATAAACATGGGTAACATGTATCACTATAATGACTTTAATTCTTTCAAGATGATACTCAGAAGAGGTACAGCTAGATCAAATGGAATTTCTATTTTTAATTTTTATGAAGAATCTTCATACTGCTTTTCAAAGTGGTTGTACTAGTTTGTACTTCCACTAACACTAGAAGGGTTCCTTTCCCTCCACAGCCTCACCAGCATTTGTTGTTGAAGCTTTGATAATACCCATTCTTACTGGAGTAAGATGGAAGCTCACTATGGTATCGATCTGCATTTCTCTACTGGCCAAAGATGAACATTTTTTCATGTACTTATTGGTTGTTTGGGCATCTTTCTGAGAAGTGTTCATTCATTTTAATTGACTTTTTTGATTGAGTTAAATTTTTTGATTTCTTTATACATTCTAGATATCAATCCTCTGGTCCAGGGAGTAGCTGGCAAAAAATTTTCCCATTTCCATAAACCTTTACTCTGTGGATTGTTTTCTTTGCTGTGCAGAGCTTTTAAATGTGATCTGATCTCATTTGTTGATTCTTGGCATTATTTCTTGTGTAATTGGTGTTCTACTCAGAAAGTCTTTGCCCATATGCAAATGTCGTTCAGAGTTTTATTTATTTTACCTCCCAACACATTCAGTGTTTTTAATATCCTGGTCTTTGATCCACTTTCATTTGATTTTAGTATATGGTAAAAAGTGTGTGTGGAGATTCATTCTTCTGCATGTACATAACCAGTTTTATTAGCATCATTTATTTGAAATTATGTTTTTCTGCAGCATATGTTTTGGGCCTTTTTGTCAAAATTCAGACAGCAGACAGTAGATGGAATTATTCTTGCATCCTTAATTATGAATTTTTTATTTTAAAGAGGATAAAACCAAGGAAAATAAAACAATAAAACCAAAACAAACCAGTGTGACACAGGACTTCAAAACAATGCAAAAATCAATAATTTCCATAATGCCTCTTGTTGTATTCAATATAGCTGCAGATACCTTCAGACATAGTAAAAATCAAACACAACAGAATCAATAAAAAAAAATGAATGCAATAAAAAACTTCAAAACAAGACAATAGTAAATCTAAAATGGCTACCATAATATATCTTGTTATCTTTGAAAATGCTGCTCATGCCATCGGATATAACAAAATCAAACAAAACCCAAACCAACAAAACAATAAAAATGATACAAGACTTCAAAACAAGACAATAGGGAATTAACAATGGCTAACACCTTCAGAAGGAGATTCCCCCTAGATGCCACACTGTGTACCCTTATCCTCTGAACCTATGATCAGACCTCTGGCTCTAGACCTGCAAAGTCAGTGAAACACCAAAGCACCGCAGGCATCCAATTGCATTTCACCCCCATAGCTATCATCACAGCCTGTTTCTCCAGATCTGCCAGTCGCTTACGGAGTGGGTGATGAGTGGGTGATGAGTGGTGATGACGGGGAGGGGTGTTTCCCTCTTTGCCAGTCTGGGTCCTGGAAGGGACTTGGGTCTGGCTGTGTGTGACCCCACCCCCCAGATGGCCTGCGCATGGCGCTAGTTTGCAGGGATGGCTTGCTTCTTGGCAAATCCTTATTCTCTTCCTTTGCAGTCTGCAAATGGTAGTGACTCACAGAGGAAGGCTTGGGTCTGGCTGTCTGTGTCACCACCCCCCCACCCCCGCCCTCGCGGGCTTCTGGGTGAATTACTCTCCCTCTTTAGTCCGTGAATAGCGCTGATTCATGGGGGAAAGCTCTATTCTATTTTTTTATGTTTATCCCCCCCCCCCTTTTTTAAAATTTCAGTACTGGGAATCAAATTCAGGACCTTATGCTTGCCAGGCAGATGCTGTGCTGCTGACCTATATTCTTGGCCTGTGTTTTGTTTTTGAGATAGGTTTCACTACTTAGTTCAGGCTGGCCTTTAACTCACTTTGTAGCCCAGAGTGGCCTTAAACTCCCAGCAATTCTCCTGCCTCAGCTTCCTAGGTGCCGGGGTTGCTGGTGTGCACTGTTAGGTCTGAGAAGAAGAGGGAAGAAGAGGGGAAGAGGGGAAAGAGGTCCGTGGAAGGAATGGAGTGGACGGCAGTGAAAGTAGTGGGCGGCGGTGGCTTTATTTCGGGAATGCGGGGAGAGACACCCCCCCCCAGCCCCTGGGGCGCAGCATCTCCACTGCACCCTGGCCGGTGGTCTCTCTCTGGAACACACTCTCCCTTTCTCCTTCTCCTTCTTCTCCTTCAACACGTGGAGTCAGGCCCATAAGTAACCTCTGTCTGGGGCGGACCCCAAGGGGCATTAGGGATGCACAGGTATTTCATTGGCACACGTTTTGGCGCCAGGGTTACAGGGATGGGGGTATAGGGTTACAGGCAAATCTATAGGGGCGGAGGAGGTAGGAGCCCCCTAACTTGGCTGCCGCTTTTCCTGGTTAAGGTGTCCGGTCTGGGCCAGCAACTCTTTCAGCACCACCGCACCCACTGCCCAAATAAGCTAGTGATGCATCTCAAAGTCCTAAAAAACAAGATTAACTCAAACCTGAACTTTTGTAATAAAGAAAGAAATTATAAAGATCGGAGTAAAAATTAATGACTTTGTGATTTAAAAAAGACCAACAAATCAAAGTTGGTTCTTACAAAGGATAAACAAGATTGTTAAAACCTTAGCCAAATTTATCAAAAAAAGGAAAAAATTTCATATCAATGCAACTAGAAATGAAAAGCTGAAATTATACTGCCAAAATCCATAGTATTCTAAGAGATTATTTTGAAAATTTACATCCTAATAAATTAGAGAATACCAAAGAAATGGATAAATTTCTAGGCACACACAAATTACCAAAATTGATCCAAGAAGACAGAAAAACCCTGACTAGATCAATAACAACCTGAACTGCATAGCAAGGCCCTGCCTCAAAAACAAAACAACCCTTTTAACTAACAAAAGTCCAGGATCTAGTGGATTCAATACCAAGTAATATCAGGTATATTTTCTGATCACAATGCTAAGAAATTATACATCAGTAACAGGAATTTCAGACAGTTCACAAGTACATGGAAATGAAACAGCACATTCCAGAACAACAGGAGTTCAAGACTTGCCTGGCCAACACGGAGACCCTGACAAACACACACACACACACACACACACACACACACACACACACACACACACAAACACACACACCCGCCAAAAAAAAAAAGTAAAAAGGATTGGGGAAGATCTCAAAGACAAGCTTATGTTACTTCAAGGCAGTAGAAAAACAACAACAAACTAAGCCGAAACTTATCGAAGGAAGGAAATAATAAAGATCCTAGCAGAAATAAAGGCCAGCAAAACCATGTAAAAGACTGATGCAACTAACAGTTGATTTTTTTGAGATAAACAAAATCAAGAAATGCTGACCCATGATTGAAGTGGGTTCATTAACAATATAGCAATCCAAGCAGCCAAATTGATAAATTTGGAATTTTATAAGCTGAGCTCAGCGATCACCCACGGACCCCTGTTTGGCACTGAACTGGAAAGTTACAGAGCTTTTAAAACAGAAAACCACCAAAAGACATCCTATTTGAAACAATCTAGCTAGAATCTTACATTAATTTTCTGTTGACACCTGTATCCTGCTTCTTTGTTGAGCAGGTTAATTTTTCTCTTGTGGGTGCAGCTCATTCTGCTTTTCTCATGGGACTCTGAGTAATTTTTCACTCTTCTGGGTCAAATAAAGGGAGTAGCACAAGATGGAATTAGTTATGCCAACCTTCAACAATGATAATAAATGAAAAAGAAGGTGAGGGCCAATTAAGTAAAACAAGAAATGATTATGATTGTTTGGAATTATAATTAATACAATTATAGTTAATAATTAAGTCAAAGGAGCGTCAATAACTACTGTGAATAATTATATGCCAACAAATCAGATATACTAGAAAAAATAGCTGAATTCCCAGACAAATATAATCTTCCAAGAATGACTCATGAAGAAATAGAAAATCTGACCAGGTAAGTACTGAGTAAAAAGATTGAATCAGAAATCAGAAGTCTTCCATTAAACAAAGCCCAGGAACTGATGACTGTTATAACTCGGGCCCCGGTATAAAATCCAAGGAAACAAGAGTCCAAAAATTTAAGTAGCAAAGGCTTTATTGAGCCAGTCCTGGCGGCACAGTCTCTCCTGGATCGACCCAAAGACTGCGCGCCCAAGACTGGGGAAAGGGGTTTTTAAAAGTAAGGGAAAGTGGGGGGAAACCTGCAAGACCATTAAACCTGTTGACCTGCATCTGGAAACTGTATTGCTGTCCACTTAGCTCTGACAATCTCGGGAGTTCCTGGTATTCTTTAAATTACTCCCATCCTGCAGACTGACATTATCTCAGAGTGGCACGTCTGCAGCAATATTTGGAGAAGAAAGTGGAGAGTTAATTATCTCAGGACAGCTTGTCTTCCCTAGTGAGTGCGAAGGGGTCACGAGTTATGAGACGCTGGAACTTAAGTTTTACAAAGATCTGATATCTAACTCATTTGATACATACAGAACAAAAGGAAAGCACTGATTGGGGTTTGGGCCATAGTATTACCCGGTAATTTCTTTTAAGCTAAGCAGTTCTTAAAATTGGGGCAGGCTCATTTTATGACAGATCATCACCGGGTCGGGGAGAGGTCACCAGAAACCCAAATTCTTTATGGCCCAGATAGGTGGGTGGGGGGAGGCAATAAGGCGCGCTACAGAACAGGAAAACGGCGAGTATCTATCTTGTGGGAAAAGTAACTAAGGTTAGGTAAAAAGGCTAAACTCATACACAAATCTCCCTGCATAAAACAAGTTACTTCAAACAATGTGTAAATTAGTGGGCCTTCTAGTCTTCTTTAGCTCTTTAGCGAAGAATAGAGGCACCTAACCGTGATTAACAACCCTTGTTAGCTTGTTTTAGCACCACTCTTCTTGTTTGTAGAGGGCCGCTCTGGTTAACATCTCAATTAAGTGAAATTCTTGCAATTCTTTACAGAGGAGAGTATTGCTCAACATATCAATTGGGTCACTTAACATATCAGTTAGGGGAAAAGGATAGAAAAAAAAAAAACATTTAGTAAGCCATGGTATAGGTTTGCTATAATACACAAAATGATGAAGCTACTTTCTTAGAGTACAACAATGACTTCACACAGTTCTACTAAACATTTAAAGAAGAACTAATACCCATCCTTTTCAACATCTTCTAAAAAATTAAGGAAAGGGAATACTTTTGAACTCTGTATGAGCCTAGCACTATCCTGACAATAAAATCAGAAAAAGATATAAGAAAATTACCTCCCAATAATCTTGGTGAACACATGCTAAAAATCCTAATTTTTAAAAATGCTAGCAAAGTAAATTCATTAACACTTAAAAGGGCTGTAGATGTCACTTGGTGGCAGAGTGTTTGCCAAACCCTGGGTTCAACCCCCAGTACCAACAACAGACCACTTAAAAAGGAACTGACATGATCAAGTAGGATCTATCTCTGAGATGCAAGGATTGACAAAATTTAATATCCTTTCATGATTAAAAGAATCACAGCTTTTGCCAAATTATGCACTGATGCAATATACCTCAACACAATAAAGGCCATTAATGAGAATTTAACAGCTACCATTTACTCAAAAAGTTGAAAGTCTTTCTTCTGGGTGGGGGATACAGCTCAGCAGCATAGTGCCTGCCTGGCCAACAAGAGGTCCTGAGTTTGATTCTCCATACCAAAAAGTCTGTCTGCTGATACATGGAACAAAGCAAGGATGCTCGCTCTTGTTGCTTCTATTCAATATGGTATCTGAAGTCACTGCTAGACCAGTTAGGCAAGAAAAAAAAAAAAAGACACCAAAACAAGAAAGAAGTATGGGAAGCAGCTGAAGCTGGAGATCAATCACAGGTGCGGGGGGGTAAAGCAAGGTCAGCCCCCAGGACAGAGAGGCCTCAGGGGAGCCACTGTTCCAGCTCCAAGAACACAGCCCAAGGGGATCCAGGCAAACAAATGGGCAGAGGGGTTTCAATGGGTAATAGCCTCCTGGGTGTATAAATAAATGCACTGCAGGCCTTGGTGATTCTTTTTCTTCCTTCAGGAGAGGAGGTTCCACCTGACCTCAGCTTTCTACATTCTGACTCTTCATTTCTTTATCCTTCACTGACCCCACCCTGGGAATTTCAAGAGCCGTGCTGCACGTCAAATAAAAGCTCACTGCTGATGACATGGTCATATACGTAGAAAACGCTAAAACTCCACCAAAAAAAAAAAAAAAAAGATAAAGTTGCAGGTACAAAATCAACATACAAAATCACTAGCATTTCTATATATAATGAACTGTCTGAAAAGAAATCAGGAGAATAATTGCATTTACAATAGCTACAAAAGGAGTAAGTTTAACCAAGGAGTGAAATGCCTTTATGTTAAAAATTCTAAAACATGATGAGACGGCTGGTGATGTAGCTGAGTGTAAAGTCCTTGCATAGCATGTGTGAGACCCTGAATTCCATCTCCAGCATGAAGGAGGAAAAGGGGAGGAGAAGAGGAGGGAAGAGAAAGAAGTGGGAAGAGGAAGAAGAGGAAGAGGAAGAAGAGGAGGAGAAGAACAAGTAGAAGATGGAGAAAATGGGAGGAAGAAAAAAGGAGAGGAAGATAGGAGGAAAAGAAGAGGGAGAAGAACAGGAGGAGAGAGACAAACTAGACACAAATAAGTGAAATATTTCATGTTCATCAATTAGAAGACAATGTTATTTAAATGTCCCAAATACTCAAATCTACATATTTGATGCATTCTCCAGTAAAATTCAAATATCATTTTTATAGAAATAGGAGAACCAATTC